TTTCCTCCTCCTCCTCTTCTTCTTCTCTCTCTCTCTCTCTCTCTCTCTCTCTCACACACACACACAAACACATACACACAGACATACACATACGCACACACAAGGCATCAACCCTGGTCCCCTCCTTGTGCTTAGATCCAAGACATGGTGGCCATCCGGCACACGGCTTGCAATGAGCAGCAGCGGACGACCATGATCCTCCTCTGTGAGGACGGCAGCCTGCGGATCTACATGGCCAACGTGGAGAACACCTCCCACTGGCTCCAGCCCGCCCTGCAGCCCAGCAGCGTCGTCAGCATCATGAAGCCCATCCGCAAACGCAAAGCAGCCGCCATCCGTAAGTTGCGGCGAGGGCAGGTTGGACGTTGCCCAGAAGGTGGTTTTTTCCTCCTCCTCATTGTCTCTTGTTCCTCCTTCCCTCCATCCCTCCCTTTTCTTCTTCTTCTTCCTCCTTTGTCCTTCCTTCCTCTCGCCTCTTCCTTTTTCTTCCCGCTCTCCTCCTTTTTCTCCCTCCCTTTTCTTCTCTCTTTCCTCCCTCCATTTTCCTCTGTCACATTACTTGACTCCCTTGTATGAGAATTCCCTGGTCACTGCTATTTATATCGAGCAGCGTACTGTTTTCATGTTTTATGTTTCCTATTGGCCAGTCCTTTTGCTTTCAAAGATGTTACAACCCAAAACTAAAGATAGGAATGGCAGTGAGAGTAATGAGGGAGAAAGGACCTGGAGAAAAACTGGTTATGTTGTAAACCAGGATTGTTGCATGGCAGAGAGTTGACCTGGGAAGAGGGGAAGTCTGAATTTCAGGACAGGCTTCCCAGAGCAACCACAGCTGCTCCAACCAGTCTCGCCCTCTGCTTGATGCCCCATCCTGTCGCTGCTCTTTCTTCAGCCACACGCAGCTCCACCCAGGTGAACTTCCCCATTGACTTCTTTGAACACAACCAGCAGTTGACGGACGTGGAGTTTGGGGGCAACGACCTCCTGCAGGTCTACAATGCCCAGCAGATCAAGCATCGTCTCAACTCCACCGGCATGTACGTGGCCAACACCAAGGTAGGACCTGGCAAGGGTCAGCAATGGCAAGGAAGCCCCTCGGCTGCCGGTGGGAGGAGGGCTGAGCTCCTGGCTTTTCCTGTCTCTCGAGCCATGCCTGTCCTTTCTCGGTAGCCCGGGGGCTTCACCCTTGAGGTGACCAACAACAACAGCACCATGGTGATGACCGGCATGAGGGTCCAGATCGGGACACAAGCCATCGAGAGAGCACCTTCCTACCTGGAAGTCTTTGGCCGCACCTTGCAGCTCAACCTTAGCCGGCCCCGATGGTTCGATTTCCCCTTTACTCGCGAGGAAGCCCTGCAGGCCGACAAGAAGCTGACCATTTTCAGTAAGAGCCCATATTTTTGGTTGTCTTTGCGGATGCCAGTGTCAGACCTGCCCCAATCAGGTCCCTTAGGAAAGAAAGACCATTGACTCCCATTTGGTTGAACTGATAGGTTCTTTTTCTAAAGGCTGCTTCCTGCAGAAAATTTAGGTTAGAACTAGATTTTCTGTGCGAAAGGATTGCAGATTGTTACCCTCATCCCATAGATTGTTACCCCCATCACTGCATGACCAATTTGTCTTCCACCAGGGAAGAACTCTTTAGGTATGAGAATTTCTGAGATGTTTGGGGCCACATCCAGTGGTGGGATTCAAATAATTTAACAACTGGTTCTCTGCCCTAATGACTGGCTGGGTGGGCATGGCCATGCTGGCCGCCCTTGGCCTCATGCACCCCTCCCCCCCAGAGCAAAAACAAGCTGCTGGGGGACGACAACCCCCATGCCCCATTTTGGATCTAGTGGGCCCCCCTGCAGCCTCCTGGGAGCAAAAACGGGGTGCATGGGGACTCCTGGAAGTGGTGGGGCAGGAATGGGCGGGGCCAGCCAGCAATTTAACAAACGGTTCGCCCAAACCAGCCTGAACCGGCTGAATCCCATCACTGGTCACGTTCACATTCCAGTCTTCGGGTACGTGGTCCTGAAGGCTCATACAAACTGGTTTCTTGCTTCCCTGATCTTCGTCAAGCAGTCATTGTTCCCCCCTCCCCATTTCTCATCACACATTACATTATTATTGCTCATTTGTTCTCCTTCCCCCCCCCCCCCAGCCTTTGACGGCAGTATGCCAGCAAAGCGCTAAGCCGAAGGGCAACCTGACAGCCACAAAGAATGTTTCTGTAGCTGTCAGTTGGGTTACCATCACAAGGAGCTATAGCTTGTTGAATGGTGGCTTGTTGGTGGAGCTTCAGGATGATAATGATAATCTTGGTTTATGAACCACAGCAGCATTTGGAAAAAAATGCCAAGAGGCCCACAGGCTGAGCGGGGAGTGGGGGGTACTCAGTGGCAGATCACCCTCACAGCCTATCTTTTCCCAACTGCAGTCGGGGCCTCCGTGGACCCCGCCGGAGTCACCATGCTTGACGCCGTCAAGATCTACGGCAAGACCAAGGAGCAGTTTGGTTGGCCGGATGAACCCCCGGAAGACTTCCCGTCGGCATCCGTGAGCAGCGTCTGTCCCCCAAATCTGAATCAAGGAAACGGGGCCGGAGACACGGAGTCGGCCACCCCTGCAGCCGTGGGCGGCACCGTCTTGGAGAGGTAAATAATGGGCCGAAGATTGGTTTTTTTAAATTCTGCTTCCCTGGCCCATATTGGGAATCAATTTTATCATATTCACTGTGCAGGATGTTCTTTAGCACAGGGAATGTCCAACTTGGCAAATTTTAAGACATGTGGGCTTTCAACTCCCTGGGCGTTGAAATTCCACAAGTCTTAAAGTTGTCTTTGTTGGATCCTCTCCCCTGCTTTAGCAACTTCCAAATCCTGCAACCCTTTTCCTCATCCTCTCTTTGCCCCGTGTGTTTTGGAGACACGGGGGCCAGACAGTTGATGCTCGGCTTCTCTCTGTTGAGGATACACCGTCCACCTGCTGGTTGTAGCTTCTCCCCAACTCCCTTCCCTCCCCTTTAAGTTCCCTCATTGCTTTTTAAGCCTCCCCTGTGTTCTGACCTAGGCTTCCCCAGCAGTCCTCGTCCCGATAAACCTCTTTTGTTTAATGTACAGTGAATTCCTCTCCAGCAAAGTATTTCCACTCCCACAGACTTTTAAGATAGTTCACAATTACCAACCCTTCCCAGGCTTGGAGAGTGGCCAGGCCGATATCTTTCAGACACCGCAATACTTGGCAAGGATGCAGGAATGAACGAATTGCCTCCTGCAAACTCCACTCCCCTTTCGCACCTCTTTTATTCCCTATGGGAGGGGCCATTCACCGTCCACCTGTGTCCTTGCTCCCAAGTCGACCCTTGTTCCTTAGATGTTCCCTTCTCCTGGCAGCTCTGCGCATGCGCACACTGGGAACAGGCTCCAGCAGTTCTTCTGCCTCTGCAGGCAGCTGATAACTATCAGATGGCCCTGGGCCCCTCTCTGCCTCCGATGCAGAGCCCTTATTGGAGCCTTCCACAGACTCCAGCACTGGCCCATGTTCCTCCCCACCCTCCTCACTGTCCGAATCTGGCGGGCCACAAAACCCTGCTTGTTCCCTCCTCAGCTTGTTCTCCAGGGCAGTTTTGAGGCAAAGAAATCTGAGTCGGGAAAAGGCGGGCTCCAATAGGGGAGGAACTTTGCTGGCTTATTTTAATCTAGTCTTACCTTAATACCAATACATTAAATATCTTCCTAGTTTGCTTAACTCGTCCTTCATTGTTTTCAGGGTAGCCCCGCAGGCCAGATTTAAGCACCCTGTGGGCCGGATTTGGCCCACGGGGTGGATTCGGCCCACGGGCCTTGAGTTTGACACCCCTGGCCTTAGAGGCTTTTCTTCATCGCTTTTGTGAATGAAGGAATTCTCCTAAGACTCGCTTCGGTTTGGGTCCGTCCAGCTTTGCCCCTGTGCCTCCCTTCCCTATCTTCCCCCCCAATTCCCAGCTCAGTTTAGTTTGCCGACTCCTTTCCTTCGTTGAGTTGCTCTTAGGATGTGTTTTTTTTTTCTCCTCAATTCTGGTTGTGCGAGCTTCGTATCTTTTCGTTTATACCTACCTATATATTATTTTTCTCCCCCTTTTCCTTTCGCTCCCCCCAAAGTCCTGACACTGAATCCTTAACCACCCTGGACCGGTTAGTATCCTGCCTCTCTCTGCACGAATGGTTTTATGTGGGAGAGACGGCCGCCCACTGCTTTCATCCTCCTGGCTGTTTTATTTTTTATTTTTAAACTCTCCGCGTGTTCCTACATCCGTCCGGTCGGTCGGGGATTTTTAAATTATTAATCTCCCCACTGCGCTGCTTAACAACGGGGTCCCTTGCATGGCAGATTAAGTCAGCAAAAAGAGAAAGAAAGAAAAAAACCCTCAGCTGTTCGTTTTGTTTTGGTTTTTTTGCTTGGCTTCCCTCTGGTTTTCCCTGCTCCTGGCTAACTGTTGCCTGCAGACTAGGCTAAATAAAAAACAAAGGGCAGACTTTACCAGCTTTTGAGAAGGGTGAGGTGAGGTGAACCCGCAACTTTCCTGCAAGTTGTGTGATGGAAGCCCCCGAGGAACATGCTAGCTGTGTTTCACTGGCTCACATCCTACCCTGTTTTTCTAACTTAGAAGGAGATCCCTCTTTGTATGTTGTTTTTCATAGCTTAGGGACGCGGTGGCTCAGTGGCTAAGATGCTGAGCTTATCGATCAGAAAGGTCGGTGGTTCGAATCCCTAGTGCCGCGTAACGGAGTGAGCTCCCGTAACTTGTCCCAGCTTCTGCCAACCTACAGTTCAAAAGCACGTTAAAAATGCGAGTAGAAAAATAGGGACCACCTTTGGTGGGAAGGTATCAGTGTTCCGTGCGGCTTCAGGCGTTTAGTCATGCTGGCCACTTGACCACGGAGACATCTACTCTGCTGGCTCTTTGACTTTGAAAGGGAGATGAGCATCGCCCCCTAGAGTCGGGAACAACTACCATATTTTTCAGAATATAAGACGCTCCGAATTATAAGACGCCGCTAGCTTTTGGGGAGGAAAACAAGGGGAAAATATCTGCCTCCCAGCAATTTGCCTCCTTGCAACAAACAGACAATATACACTGTAGTGTTACATTTCAGATTATACTTGTACAGATGGTTTAATTAATGTGCTTTCTGGAAGTATATGTTATTCTCTGCTATTTAAAAGAAGATACAATANTGAGAGGAATTCACATTTGTTTAATAAAAGGGGTTTTTGACGGGACCAGGAATCTGCTTTGTCCTTTTTGGGGAAGCCTAGCTCAGAACACTCTGAATTAAGATTCAGAAAGGCAGCCCCCTGGATGTGGGTGGGCGGGGACCTTCCCACTCCCCAGAGCAAGTCTGACGTGAGATCGTCTGTCCTCAGGAGAAGACCAAAGCTGCCACTCAGGAATTGGCCACCATGCTGCTGTCCACACCGGCCCCTTCCAGTGTCCAGCAGCAGACAAAGAGCCTGTTGGCCAGCCTCCACGCCAGCCGCTCGGCTTACCACAACCACAAGGTAAGCGAGCCAGTTTCCTTCCCGACGCGGCTTCCCGGATCCCTCCGTTCGCCACCCTGCGGAGCCCCAGGGGAATTTGGAAGACTCTCAGCAAACTCTTGCCTCCATTTCCACGTGCTGCCGGACTTTCTGGTTTTTCTTTGAAGACGTTTCGCTTCTCATTCGAGAAGCTTCTTCAGCTCTGTGGAAATCCATTCATACCCCCGCACCTTTCGAAAGGTGTTCATCCCAAAGCGCGTAGTTAAATGTCTATGGAGAGTCTCAGGCATGCGCGTCATGGTTTGTCCCAAAGGTGCTTTTTTCAGGAGGCAACTGGACTCTCTGGATTTTCTTTGAAGACATCTCGCTTCTCATCCCAGAAGCTTCTTCAGCTCTGAAGTTGCCTCTTGAAAAAACACCATCCAGCCCTGGATGACTGAGAATGTCCATAGACATTTACTGGTAGAGCCACACAGGCGCAGAAGAAGCAAAAGAGGTTTTCGTGCGAAAAACAGCACAGTTAATTTTTCCTATTCCCCATGTGGCTCGCCCATTATCCAATCGCACGGCCTGGATTTTCTCAGGCTGCCAACGGCTCCCATACATTCCTTGCCTCCCTCCCAGCTCCCAGTATATACCAAGCATTCCCCTCCCCCCCTCTTCGTTTCTATGGTCAAGTTGAGAGTAGAGGTGCGTTGCGAGTCAGCCTTGACAGCACCTCTGCTGGCATTGGGTGTTGCCTTGCGTTGCGTTGTGGCATCTGGGTAATTGTGAGGAAGGGGATGCTGATTCAGCTCTTTCCTTCGGCGCGGTCTGCCTCCCACAGGATCAGGCCCTGCTGAGCAAAGCCATCCAGTATCTTACCACCTCGAACAGAGAAGGGAAGGACCTGGAACCGGAGGTTTTTCAGAGGCTGGTCATCACGGCGCGCTCCATCGCCATCATGCGGCCGAATAACCTGGTCCATTTCACGGAGTCGAAGTTTCCGTCTCTGGAAACAGGTAGGGTCAAGCTCCTCCCCCTCCTTGCACACAAACCCCCCACGCACCCAGTTTCCTCTCTGTTCTGACAACCTCCGCCCCCCCTAGCCTATGAATACACTGGAACACAGGCTTGGCTGTTTGCCACTGCTCAATTACTGAGATAACGAATCCTTTGGCTGAGGGCCCAGGCAACTCACGTTCAATACAGTAGCTGCNGGGGGGGGGGAAGGTGCGTCTTGTACTCTGAAAAATATGGTAGCACATTTGTGTGAGGAGAACCTTTACCTTTCATAGCTTGTTTCAGACGCCTGCTAGATGATGAAGGTTTGAGCATCTTAAACAGGGAATTCACTGAACTGCTTGTTGGGTCTCTTTTGGCTTGCTTGCTTGCTTTTTTCCTGGTTTCCCTCTTTTTGGGGTGCTCTTTCCTGGTTGATATGTACAATGAAAGGGATTAGCTCAAAATTGGAATGTGGTGGATAAAAGACACAACAATTGTTCCAAAGGAAAAGAAAGAAGGAGACTCAACTGTTCTATTCTTAGAAAAAAAAATCCATTCCTCTCACTCAATAAACGGTGATGTGGCAGAGAAGAGAGATCTGTGTTAAATAAGTGGAATATTTATAGTGATTCTCCGCCATCCAGGTCATTGGTGTCCCAAAAGGTGCTTTTTCAAAAGGCAACAGGATTTTCTTAGTTTTTTTATCCTCGAAAACGTTTCGCTTCTCATCTAAGTTAAACTTCTCTTAGTTAACTCAGAACTGAAGAAGCTCCTTGGATGAGAAGCAAAACATTTTCAAGGGGGAACACCCCCACCCCCACCCAAGAAAGTCCAGTTGCCTTTTGAAAAGCACCTTGGGACAATAAGCGGAAGGGCAAATGAGATCTAGATTGCCTTGGGTATCTTTACCCCTCTGTGCAAAAGTGGAATCTAGAAAACTACATGGGACACATTGGCTCAGTGGCTAAGATGCTGAGCTTGTTGATCAGAAAGGTTGACAGTTCAGCGGTTTGAATCCCTAGCCGTGTAACGGAGAGAGCTCCTGTTCCTTGTCCCAGCTTCTGCCAACCTAGCAGTTTGAAAGCATGTAAAAATGCAAGTAGAAGAATAGGAACCATCTTTGGTGGGAAGGTAACAGCATTCCGTGCACCTTCGGCATTTAGTCCTGTTGGCCACATGACCATGGAGACGTCTTTGGACATTGCTGGCTCTCGGGCTTTGAAACAGAGATGAGCATCGCCCCCTAGAGTCAGGAATGACTACCGTATTTTTCAGAGTATAAGACACCCTGAAGTATAAGAAGCACCTAGCTTTGGGAGAGGAAAACAAGGGAAAAATATCTGCCTCTGCCTCCCAGCAATTTGCCTCTTTGCAACAAACAGCAAACAGTACAGACAATGTACACTGTTTGTAGTGTTACATTTCACACTATACTTGTACAGATGCTGTTAAAATTGATGTGCTTTAGACAGCGCTGGCTCTTTGGCTTTGAAACAGAGATGAGTTCTGCCCGCTAGAGTCAGAAATGACTAACACATATGTGCGAGGGGAACCTTTACCAGCCTGAACTTTTGATAGCTTGGAAGACTTTTCAGTAGCTCACCCAGAATCATTGCATAGCTCTCTCACCTATCATGCCTAATTAAGTTGGCCTGGATTTATTAAGAACATGATAGGCCCATTAGTAGATAGTGGGGATGCTGTTGATGTAATATATCCACAGGTATCCGGGCATTTGCGTTTTCTTGGAACAAAACAAGCTTCCTGAAAGTAACTCAGCTTCACTGCTATCACCTCATCAGGAATTAGAGGGGTGTGACCCGGCCTTAAAAGAGCCTTGAGTTTTTCCTGAACAGATTGCCCTAGACCTGCATGGTGCCTGTGGCAGCTCTTTCCTTTGCTTTGATTCTTTTATCTGTGCTGGGGTGTGGGTGGGAGCGAGCAAAGGGCTTGGCATCCCCAACTGCTCCCCGCCTTCTTTCTAAGCCATTCTGGGGGAGGGGTGGGGGTGGCGCTCGTGTCCTGACCAATCTTTTCTCCTTGTCTTTCCTCCTGCAGGCTAGTAGTGAGTTCTTTAGAAGCCCTGGAAAGTTGGTTTGCTGTCGGACCGGTCAACGAGAAGGCAAGTCCCTTTGCTTGGGGATGGGGGTGTTTATGGGGAGGTTGAGGAAGAGAACAGGGACACCTCGAAGCCCTGACCAGAGGAGCTTACAGATCCTAACTTCTTGGACTGCTGTGGTGAAGCAGAGATTTGTTCGGAAATGAGCCGAAATGAGTCCTCCGCCAGCAGCAGAGTTGGAGAGTGAGAAGGTGGGGGGGAAACATGGGCCAGTCCTGGAGTCTGGGGAAGGCTGTGATGGGGGCTCTGTGTCGGAGGCGGAGTGGAGGCCAGAGCCGTATGCCAGTTATCAGCTGCCTTTGGAGTCAGACAGCAATGAGGCAGAGGAACAGCGGGAGTCTGTTCCCAGTGTGCACATGTGCAGAGCTGCTAGAAGAAAAAAACAGCTGAGAAATTAGAATCGACTTGGGAGTAAAGCCTCAGGTGGGCGCTGAATGGCTCCTCCCAGAGGAAATAAAAGAGGAGTAAAAGGGGAGTGGGCTTTTGCAGGAAGCCATTTGTTCGTTCGTTAGTTCATTTCAGGAGTGTGAAGCAGGGGTGAAATTCAGCAGGTTCTGACAGGTTTTGACATGTTCTGGAGCAGAAATCTTGAGTAGCTCCGAGAAATGGCAAATGCCACCTGTGGCTGGCCCCAGGAGTGGGGAGGGAATGGAGATTTTGTAGTATCCTTCCCCTGCCAGGCCTGCCAAGCCACACCCACAGAACCGGTAGCAAAGGAATTTGAATTTCACCACTGGTGTGAAGATCTGTCCGTGAATCTCAGAGACTCTATGCCAAGTCTTTCCTTGCACAGCACCTCATTTGGAAAATATTTACATGGCAGCTTCCCAAGCTAGATAAGGTCTGTGGTCATAAATGCACCTTTGAAAGACTGTTTGCCAGGCCTTTGCTGAATATGTTTTGAGAGGAATTCACATTTGTTTAATAAAAGGGGTTTTTGACGGGACCAGGAATCTGCTTTG